TTATATTCAAATGTTTACAACTGGCCTATTAATATACAATTTTATGAACCTAATCAAAATTAGTTCCAAGTACGCATAAATGTTAGTACTCTCACTACGGAAACAAAAATGTTATCAAGTTATCTAAAAATTAGATTGTTAAATGAGTTTTAATAAAAAGAAGCTTGCTGGTGGAGGGTATTTAAGATTCGGCATAGTCGAATATAGCACTCTAAATTGTTTGTATTTAATTCATATGGGAGGTGCCACGCCCCCTATTGCTAGTCCGCTAATTTTTTTTCCTAAATATTCATGTTGATACTAAATTGGTTCCGAAAAATTGGATGACTCTAGCTGTTATATTTTCTCAGATATACTAAGATACCGCTCATTTTGCCCCCATGTGTTCATGTGGATGTAAAAGTTGTATATACAACAATTTAGAACTCTAGCTGTTGCAGTTTCTGAGATATGTGATTTTAAATACTTATTATGTATGTGAACGTGGCACTTTGCCCACATGAAATTTTAAAATATATAGTTCCAGACATACAAGAAGACACTGTGAAAATTTCAGCCGTTTAGCAGTCTATAAAGTCCAAACAAACAAACAAACAACCAAACAAACAACCAAACAAACAACCAAACAAACAACCAACCAAACAAACAAACAAACAAACAAACAAACAAACAAACAAACAAACAAACAAACAAACAAACAAACAAACAAACAAACAAACAACAAACAAACAAACAAACAAACAAACAAACAAACAAACAAACAAACAAACAAACAAACAAACAAACAAACAAACAAACAACAAACAAACAACAAACAAACAAACAAACAAACAAACAAACAAACAAACAAACAAACAACAAACAAACAAACAAACAAACAAACAAACAAACAAACAAACAACAAACAAACAAACAAACAAACAAACAAACAAACAACAACAAACAAACAACAAACAAACAAACAAACAAACAAACAAACAAACAACAACAAACAAACAAACAACAAACAAACAAACAAACAAACAAACAAACAAACAACAACAAACAAACAATCAAACAAACAAACAAACAAACAAACAAACAAACATACATACATACATACATACGTACGTATGTACATACATACGTACGTACATACATACATACTTACATACATACATACATACATACATACATACATACATACATACATACATACATACATACATACATACATACATACATACATACATACATACATACATACATACATACATACATACATACATACATACATACATACATACATACATACATACATACATACATACATACATACATACATACATACATACATACATACATACATACATACATACATACATACATACATACATACATACATACATACATACATTCATACATACAATAGCATATAGTTCCTTCCAGACATACAGGAAGACACTGTGAAAATTTCAGAAAAATCGGTCCAGCCGTTTAGCTGTATATAAAGTCCAAACAAACAAAAATACAAACACACATTCATTTTTATATATTTTTATATATTTTTATATATAGAGATGGGGGGTGCTACGCCCTCTATTGTTAGTCCTCCAATTTTTTCACCAAATAATCATATGGATGTCAAAATTGTCCATAAAAAATTTGAGGACTCTAGTTGTACCATGTTCCGAGATATTCGACTTTTGAAGAAGTGGGTGTGGCACCCCTCCCACTTGCAATTTCAAAATAAAAAGTAGCCTATAGTTACTTCCAGATATAGGGGAACATACACTGAAAATTTGAAGATCGCTTCAGTGGTTTAGCCTCCTATAAGGCACAAACAAATAAACAAACATATGTACATTGATTTTTATACATAGATAGAAGCATTTTATTTAATTCTACGATAATTAGTCGTTTTCGATCTTTGGCCCATCCTAGGACTCTCGAAATCATTGGTTTATGGTCGGGAATTATTTTTCGCTTGTTTTAATACAGATTTTTAAGGTATACAAAATTTGTATTACAAATGATGATGATACCTGCAATGGTTTCCTATAACAAATTTGTTCAAAAATACAATAACAGTTTAAGCGCGACATTTTTATTTAAAAACATTTTTCTAAGGCACATCGCACAGTGGTATAGGAAAAAAAAAAGAGGGAAATAATTCGGTAACTTCTAAACGGTTAATCCGATTTTAATGAAATTTGGTATGCACAAAGAGGAGGTGTTGTCGAGTTTAGGTTTTGAATTTGGACCTTATAGGCCAACCAGGGGCCCGGCGGGGGGTCCTCAAATTAGGACACCTCGGCTATGTTAAATTTTTAAAACGATCCTATTTCTTCATTTGAGTTCCGATTTAAAAAAAATTTCGTATATAGAATCTCCTCATCGAGCACTATAAAAAATGTCGTCGTAGCAGTAAATTATCTCTTATAGTTTAGGAGATATTCGCATTTGAATATTAAAATTTTAAAATTTTTACCGTCCTTACTTTAGTTTTTTTGATAATAGCAGGTCCAAATATTTCCGATTTTCGCCATTTTTTTTTTATTTGCTTAACAACAAGTTTATATACCAAGCAGTGAAAGAATTATGTAAAAATCATGACTGAGTCCAAAGTTATAGGCATTTAAATTTAAAAAATTAAAAAAAGGCGATTTTTTGTCATTTTTTTGGGAAAAAAGTATCTTTTTCTTTTTAAGTTATCTAAAAAGTTTCTAAGAAGATGTATATAGAATTTATACTTTTTGAAAAGCTGACTTTACATAAAGTACGATAAATGAAACAAAACCTAAAAATTTTTGATACTGAGGGGACCAGGTCCATCCAAAAAAACCCTATTTTTTATGGAAAATTAAATTTTGAGCAAAAATTCTCAAATCGCATAGTCGATATCAAATTATAGTGACCTGTTTTATATGACCCAATATGTTCTTAATCATTTTGTAACGGGTTTCGATAACCCCGCCCCTGGTATGGATATAATAGGCAAAAAACCAAAAAATCCCATTTTTGGGATTTTTTAAAACTTTTTTGGGAATTCCGGGATTTCTAATAAGAAAATTCGAAATTTTTATTTAATTTTGGATTTTGAGTAAAAAAATCTACCTAACTGTAAAATTTCATCAAAAAATATTCATAAATAAAATTTTTATTGCAATTTGAAAAATTTGTATCTTCGCAAAAACTGAATAAAAAACATTTTTTAATTTTTTTTAAAAAAAGTATTCCGCGAATTTTTTAATTTTCAAAAATTATATACAGTTTTGAAAAATAGACAAAATTACCTTTCCATTGATATATAACATGCCTACCTAATGTTTTTTAAGTGACAAATTAATTAGGGAAAACTCAACATCTTTTAGAAAATTTACCTAGCACTATTATTTTCATCCATATATGTAACAAATTTAAGAGTTAACCTTATGGATGAAAATAATAGTGCTAGGCAAATTTTCTAAAAGATGTTGAGTTTTCCCTAATTAATTTGTCACTTAAAAAACATTAGGTAGGCATGTTATATATCAATGGAAAGGTAATTTTGTCTATTTTTCAAAACTGTATATAATTTTTGAAAATTAAAAAATTCGCGGAATACTTTTTTTAAAAAAAATTAAAAAATGTTTTTTATTCAGTTTTTGCGAAGATACAAATTTTTCAAATTGCAATAAAAATTTTATTTATGAATATTTTTTGATGAAATTTTACAGTTAGGTAGATTTTTTTACTTAAAATCCAAAATTAAATCAAAATTTCGAATTTTCTTATTAGAAATCCCGGAATTCCCAAAAAAGTTTTAAAAAATCCCAAAAATGGGATTTTTTAGTTTTTTGCCTATTATATCCATACCAGGGGCGGGGTTATCGAAACCCGTTACAAAATGATTAAGAACATATTGGGTCATATAAAACAGGTCACTATAATTTGATATCGACTATGCGATTTGAGAATTTTTGCTCAAAATTTAATTTTCCATAAAAAATAGGGTTTTTTTGGATGGACCTGGTCCCCTCGGTATCAAAAATTTTTAGGTTTTGTTTCATTTATCGTACTTTATGTAAAGTCAGCTTTCCAAAAAGTATAAATTCTATACACATCTTCTTAGAAACTTTTTAGATAACTTAAAAAGAAAAAGATACTTTTTTCCCAAAAAAATGACAAAAAATCGCCTTTTTTTAATTTTTTAAATTTAAATGCCTATAACTTTGGACTCAGTCATGATTTTTACATAATTCTTTCACTGCTTGGTATATAAACTTGTTGTTAAGCAAATAAAAAAAAATGGCGAAAATCGGAAATATTTGGACCTGCTATTATCAAAAAAACTAAAGTAAGGACGGTAAAAATTTTAAAATTTTAATATTCAAATGCGAATATCTCCTAAACTATAAGAGATAATTTACTGCTACGACGACATTTTTTATAGTGCTCGATGAGGAGATTCTATATACGAAATTTTTTTTAAATCGGAACTCAAATGAAGAAATAGGATCGTTTTAAAAATTTAACATAGCCGAGGTGTCCTAATTTGAGGACCCCCCGCCGGGCCCCTGGTTGGCCTATAAGGTCCAAATTCAAAACCTAAACTCGACAACACCTCCTCTTTGTGCATACCAAATTTCATTAAAATCGGATTAACCGTTTAGAAGTTACCGAATTATTTCCCTCTTTTTTTTTTCCTATACCACTGTGCATCGTGGATGTTCACATTATGGCATATTTCTACTAGTTCTTAGATTTATTGTTCAGTGATATATTTTTTTAAACATATCATGAAAATAAATGTTGAGAGTTTTTTTAATTTGCACTTTAAACCGCAGTTACTTCTGCGCCATTTGATAAAAGTCATTGATGCGAACGGATTTATTATCTAAATGGATAGCTTTAGATATGCACCAAATATTTTGAATCTGCCTTTAAATTTAATTTTTAATTTTTTTAACTTAAAAATCAAAAGATTTTGAGAATTTAACATATATGCTTAATTTTTTGAGTATTTGCAATAAACGTACCTGTCCCAAAATTTTTCCTTTGAGTCTTCTACTAGAAATGGTTTTAGTGGATAGCTAATTTCATTTCCCATATACGAATATGATAAGTATAGACATGTTAGAACTGCGGCTTGTAGATCAGATTCTTTTGTTTCCTCTCCATTGACCAATTCTCGAACAAGCATATAGACAAATACAACGTTTGCAGGATTAATGAAAGCCACGTCCTAAAAATTATTTCAAAATTGAATATATGTAAGTATTACTAATGCTCTAATTTATTTAATTTCTCGTTAAATTATATGATTAATTAAATATGTATATAGTTATTGTATTAATACATTGTGGACCATTTTTCGAAATGGCGGCCAAAAATATTTTTTTTATAGTCACCGATATTAAAGTTATGTTAATATACCGTAAATTCTAGGCAACAAAAGAGAACAAAAAAGTCATACACTGTCCTGTAGCCCGAAGCCTCCCCTACACGTGTATACCCCTTTTTATATCGGTTCAGCCGGAGTGCACCAGAGCAATTTTTGTGACGGATGTAAGCCAAAACAATCCAATTCACTTGCAGGTTCTTAAGTCCACTTTACCTAAGTCCATTTTCGTTTAATTTAATTTTCATATAGTCCATCCTGTTTTTTTAATACTTTTTTTTAAAAAACTGGCAAATTTATTTTTTGAAAAAATAGAATCATTTATTGTAAATTCTTTAAAAAAGAAACAATCTAAGATTACATAATTCTTTTAAAAATGTTCAGTGGTGATAGAGGGTATACAGTTTATCATTCTGTATGTAACACCAAGAAATATTAATCTGAGACCCAACAAAGTATATATATTCCGGGTCCTGATTCTGAGTTGATTTAGCTATGTCCGTCCGTCTGTCTGTATAGAACACGCTCACGTAAAAATTAATGAAATTCGGCCAAAAGATTCATTCATTCGGTTTACATCGGAAAGAATTATGAATCAAAAAAAATTAAGTTTTTTTAACACATTCTAATAAAATTTTCACAAAATATGGGTGGAATAGGTCCACAATTTCATACATCTCCCATACAAATGTACTTATTCACGAAAATGCATTAATTGTTAATAACTTCCAGTAGAGTGACAATATCTTTACATACTTTTACAAGTAAAAGTTTTATATCAATTGGAAGAAAAATTTTCTGAATCGGTCCGCAATTGGCCGTAGCCACAAATATTACTTTTGTAAACAAAAAGGTAATTTTAAAATTTTTTTCACGATCGGTCCATATTTGGCCATAGCTGCAGTAGAAGATCTCCTTCAGAAAATCACTCAAACGCAAATGACTCATTACCAAATAATGATATCATTACAAAATTTGGCACAAATATTAATTTACAAATAAACTATTATTTTGTTAAAAAAGGTGGTTTTATTGAAGAAAGTACGTACTTTGTATATAGTCCAAAATTTGTATTATATGAGGATTCAGTTATAGTCCATAAAGTAGCTTAAAAATAAATTCGCTTATAGTCCTAATTCGCTTATTGTCCACAAAAAATGTGCAACTGTAGTTGTGGACGATAAGTAGAGCTTTTTATTTCCCGGACTTTTTCATTCCCGGAAAATTTATATAACTTTTCAATACATAATAACCTGGAACATTTTTAAAGAAATATTGTATTTTATTAAGTTTTCGACATTTCTGTATCATTATGCAGGGCATACACGATGCGCCCTTTTAAACAACTTTGCTTACAATCAAGTTGCGTATATTGTACACAAATGTTACAATTTTGAAAACAATCTCTTAATACAACTCTATTTTATAAAAATAATTTGAAGGTGATAGCGTGTGCTTATAATTGCAATTTAATCGTAAAATTTTTCTTATTTTTTATAATAAACTAGCTATACCCAGTGTGCTTTGCTACCCTTAAAAACGGTATAAATAAAAACCGCACTTTACGATTTTTTAAGATTCTAGTTCTATTACCCCTATTGATAGTCCACAATAGGGGAGAAACCATTCCCATGTTCACATGAATGTGAAAATTCGGCATCATGAAATAACTCCCCACGAAATAACTTCCCAAAACAAAAATGAAATAACTCCCTAAATTTGGGGACTTATTTCATTATGAAATAATTCCCCAATTTAAAAATGAAAAAAAACCCCAACGAAATGAAATAACTTCCTAAATTAAAATGAAATAACACCCCATTTTTGGGGATTTATTTCATATGAAACAAATCCCTAATTTTAAAATGAAATAAGTTACCATTTAAAAATAACAAAATTTCTAAAAAAAAGTAGGTCGCTCATACTTTCGAGTGGGGCTTCAAAGTTTAATACATTTCAGTTTAATCGCTTAATAAAGATTCCTTTAATAGCCGGCCATCGGCCGGGCGCAAGGACTTTCTACTCTATGGTATGTCCAACAACGGCTTCGCTTAATAAATATTTCCTAAATAGACGGCCTACGGCCGGACGCAAGGATTTACCGCTCTATAATATGACCAACACCGGCTTCGCTTAATAAAGATTTCCTAAATAGCCGGCCTAAGGCCGAACACTTTTGATACAAGGCGAGTGTATTCTTAGCGAAGCCGGTGTCCAATGTACCCCAGAGGATAAAACCCTTGCGCCCGGCCGAAGGCCGGCTATCAGACATATATTAATTATTTCGTGTGACAAATGTAATATAATGCAATAACTCCCCAAAAATATTTTTAGGGATTTATTTCATATTTGGATTTTGAGGAATTATTTCATAATGAAATAACTCCCCATTTTAAATGTGAAATAATGCCCCAAAAAACGAATTAAATCCCCAAATTTCGTTGTTTTTGCTTTCTGAACAAATTTTTAGGGAGTTATTTCACTTTTGTTTTGGGGAGTTATTTCGTGGGGAGTTAATTCATGACGCCGAAAATTCTTCGTGCAAAATTTTAGGATTCTAGATTCAAATATTCACATGTCAGTGTTGTTAGCGCAAAATTCAAGGATTTTAGCTCTAATAGTTTCTCAGATATACGAATTTTTGTATTTTATTCATATGAGATGTTCCATGAACCCCAAAAGAATATCTGCACATTTTATTTTCAAATGTTCACTTTTATGTTACTTTTAAGATTCTAGTTCAGTTTCTAGATAAACGAATTTTTGTATTTAATTTATATGGGAGGTGCTACGCTCTCTATTACTAGTCCGCCAATTTATTACCCAAATGTTCAAATGACTGCCAAAGTTCTTAAAATTTGAGGATTCTAGATCTAATAATTTCCCAGATAAACGAATTTTTTATTTAATTCATATGGGAAGTACCACTGCCCCTATTGCCAGTGCGCCAAATTTTCCCCCAAAATGTTCACATAGATGTTAGTGTGCTTCATGCTAAATTTAAAGATTCCAACTCCAATAGTTTCGCAAATAAATGATTTTTATACCCTCCACCACAATCAGTGGTGATAGAGGGTATATATAAGTTTGTCGTTCCGTGTGTAACACCAAGAAATATTCATATAAGACCCAACAAAGTATTCTGGGTCCTCATGAAATTCTGAGTCGATTTAGCTATGTCCGTCTGTCTGTCTGTCTGTCTGTCTGTGTAAAACACGCTCACGTTAAAACTAAGCAAAGGAAATCAACCAAATTCACCCAAAATATTTATTGTTATCCTAAGCAGTTTGGTATTGAAAATCAGCAAAATCGGTTCACAACGCAAAAAGTTATGAGTAAAAATTTCAGACTACCTCGAAAAAAATTACGTTTTTCGATGAATTTTGTCACACATTATTTTTTCGTGGCAGTGATCAATTATGTTGAAAATCTTTTGAATCGATCCAATATTTCCCATAGCTCCCATACAAAGGTATATATTCCCGCAAATTAGTTTATCGTTAATAACTCCCTCAAATATATCGGTATCAACACAAAATTTTGTACATGCAAATATAATATGAACAGAAATCATACTGTCAACGTAGATCTCAGTCGGTCCGCAATTGGCCATAGCTCCCATACAAGGTCCACTTCCGAAAATCACCTAAACGGACATATTTCATTGATGAATAAAGCTATTGTGATAAAATTCGAGTTAAATATGTTTTGTGTACAAACAAATCATTCTACCAAATTTTTTATGGATCGGTCCATTATTGGTCATAGCTCCCATATAAAGCCCACTTCCGAAAATCATTTAAAAGCTCATATTTCATTGTCAAATAAAGCTATCTTGATGAAATTCGACACAAATATGTTTAGTCTAAATATAAATCACTCTACGAAATTTTTTCCGGATAGGTCCATAATTGGTCATAGCTCCCATATAAAGTCCCCTTCCGAAAATCACTTAAACGCATATATTTCGTTAATTATAAAGCTATCGGGATAAATTTTGACACAAATATGTTTTGTATGAATACAAATTATTTTACAAATTTTTTTACGAATCGGTCCATTATTGGTCATAGCTTCCATATAACCCCACTTCCGAAAATCACTTAAAAATACATATTTCATTGTCAAATAAAGCTATCGTGATAAAATTCGACATAAATATATTTCGTATAAATATGAATTATTCTACTAAATTTTTTCTGGATAGGCGCATAATTGGTCATAGCTCCCATATAAGGTCCACTTCCGGAAATCACTTAAACACATATTTTTCATTGATAAATTGGGATAAAATTCGGTAAAATTACGTTTTGTGTACATTCAAATCATTTCACTAAATTTTTTACGGATCGGTCCATTATTGGTCATAGCTACCATATGAGGCCCACTTCCGAAAATCACTTAAAAGCACATATTTCATTGTCAAATAAAGCTATCGTGATAAAATTCGACACAATTATGTTTTGTCTTTATATGAGTCACTCTACGAAATTTTTTCCGGATAGGCTCATAATTGGTCATAGCTTCCATATAAGGTCCACTTCCGAAAATCACTTAAACGAATATATTTCATTAAATTTTAAAGCTATAAGGATAAAATTCGACTTGAAACTATTATTTTGTTAAAAAAGGTGGTTTTATTGAAGAAAGTACGTACTTTGTATATAGTCCAAAATTTGTATTATATGAGGATTCAGTTATAGTCCATAAAGTAGCTTAAAAATAAATTCGCTTATAGTCCTAATTCGCTTATTGTCCACAAAAAATGTGCAACTGTAGTTGTGGACGATAAGTAGAGCTTTTTATTTCCCGGACTTTTTCATTCCCGGAAAATTTATATAACT